GGGGACGTCGAGGGCCGCCCCGCCCCGCCCGAGCACTGAACCCCGGGCCACCGCCCACCCCGGGGCCTGGAGCCCCGCGCGGCCTCTGCCGGCCTCCGAGCGCTGGGCAGCGATCTCCCGGCCCGGAGAGGGTCCCCGTCGCCCGCCGCCGCTTCCGGTGCCCGCCCTGCCCCGGGGCGAGGTGTGTCACTCACATTTTGGCGGCAGTGGCGGCCGGCGACGGTCAGTGGAACTGCGCAGCGAACACCCAGGGCCCGACCGACGGGCGGGGAGGACAGGCGTGGCGCTGACGTCACCAGCAGGGCGCGGTCGGGAGTGGGCGGGCCCAAGTAGGCGGGGTCAGAGCGCGGCTCCTCCATAATCGGGCCTGAACTGGGAGTGGGCGTGGCGCTCCTGGCCGCGGAGGGCGTGATTTTAAGTAGGCGGGGCCAGAACGCGGCTCTCCGGGTAATAGAGCCTGGTCTGAGTGGGCGGGGCTTACCTTTGGTAGGCGGGGTCAGAGCGCGGCTCCTTGGTAATAGGACCAGGGCTGACAGTGGGCGGGGCGCTCTTAGTAGTCCAGGGCGCGCCGGAAGTAGGCGGGGCCAGAGCGCGGTTCTCCCGCCATAGGCCTGGACTGAGAGGGGGCGGGCCCTCCTGTCCCCAGCACAGGGTGCACCGGAAGTGAGCAGGGGCGGGGCTGAGCCCATTGCCTAAAGGTGTGGCACCTTATTGCAGGGAGGCATTCTGCAGTGCAAGTGAACCCCGAGAGCTCCCTGCAGTACCGTCGCCGCCCCGTGGCTCTTTAGGCTGTGGAAAGGCAGCTTGGGGTGAGGGCGGGTGCGCTCTACGTTTTTGTTGAGCCGGTAGACCTTGTCTCTGGGTCCTTAGTGTTCCAGGGTCATCTACGGGTCCTGGGGCGACAGCTATGTTTTCTGAGAAAGTTGTTAAAATTCAATAGAAGTCTATTTGCAGTCTTTATCAGACTTGGGTCGGGTTAAGTTCACGCTCATGTTTTCACTAGCAATGACAAATATTTGTCATTGCACGGATCATATTGCAACCCCTGAAGGGAGCTTTGGCATTACGAATTCGTTTCCACTGCTGGAGAGGTGGCTCAATGGTAAAGAGCACTGACTACTCTTGCAGAGGTTCTGGGTTTGGTTCCCAGCACCCACGAGATGGCTAAGGGTCTATAACTCCAGTTTCAGGGGATCTGACACCCTCTTCTGACCTTCACCGGCATTGAACCCATACACATGGTGCAGTTACATGCGAGGCAAACACTCATAAAAGAAAAAGAACAAGAACTCCAGTTTCTTCATTAATGCATTCCTCTGTCCTGGCAGAGTAGGTGCTCAACTTCTGTTCCAATGGACAAGTTTCTTTGCAACGCATTCCAACAGATAGTTTCATACAATAACTAAACCAAGTAAGGTCAGTTGGTGGAATTCTTAGGTAAGTGAAAAATACTAAGCTGATTTTTTTTTTTCCAATTCAATAGTTTTAAAAGGGAAATTTTAGTGTACCAAAATCAAGAGAGTGCCACAGAAGTGGGGACTGGGGTTACGTAGAACTTTCCAGGAAAGTGGAAATGGTATACACAGACCCATTGGAGTGTGCAGGACTGGACTTAAAACAAAACTGAATAGGCAGACGACAAAAAGAACAATGGGAATTGGGCAGAGGGCTTTGGATAGTATTGAGGACTCTGAGCTGGGAGATTCAGTGTCAAATTTGTCAGGCAGTAGTTTTGAGGGAGGAGAGGTAGTCCTAGAGACAGAAGAGACTCCACAGGGAAGGGGATTCAACAGCGAGGACAGATTTAGAAGGGAGGCTCTAAGTGAAGTCGGCTGGAAAAAGTCTTTTTAAAACTTCCCAGGAGGCTTGGGAATATAGCTTAGTTGGCAGAATAGTTGCTAGCAAACCCAAAGCCCTGGGTTTGAGCCCCAGCACCGTGTAAAGCCAGGCCTGGTGGCACACACCTGTAATCCAAACATTCAAAAGGTGGAGGTAAGAGGATCAGAAGTTCAGGGTCATCCTTTTGGGCTACCTGAGACTGTCTCAAAAACAAACACGCATACACTTCCATTTCTTAACTGGAAAGATGAATTTACATGATGTCCTTATTTTTCAAGCAATCTTAAGACAAATGACTGATGTATTGAGAGGGACCAGGGAAAACAGGTGAAAAGCAAGTGCTTTGAGAAGAGGCTCTAACAACTGTCTTCTTTAGTGGACACGGAAAACCCAATATACTATTCAGTATCCAAACCCTGAATGTGGATGTTCAGAAATACTTCACGCTTGTAACATACTATCACAACCTCAACACCTTGGATTTCAGCTCCAGTTAAAGCAAAACTCACAGATAATATGGGTAAATTTTCTTCATTTTTAATTTACAGCAGAAAGAATATAAAGCATTCAGAAAACATTTTCCATATTTTAAGGGCAATTCAAAACATTTCGTATGGTTTCCAGCAGCTGAGTTCTTCAACAGATCCATTGGCTCAATGATGCTTTACATGCACAATTACAAAAATAAAACTTACAAAAAAAGGACATCTAGACTAGTTTTACATGCAAGTCTCAGGGACCCCCCATTGGGCGCCAACTACTGTGTGGAACTGCCATAAGCGACCGTGCAGCCAGAAAGGGTTCGTCTTATTGTCTTTATTTCGTTCACACAGTACAGCTGATTTCGAATGGGTTAACAAGAATAGCAATTAAATCTTCAGGAGACAGAATAAGATTAGCTATTAGTTTTATAATGAAACCCTACTCCTGGCACTTGGGAATTCAGATTATCCAAGAAAGCTGCGCTTACTGATCATCTTATATTCAAAATTAAGATTCACAATCAAGAAAAAGCGGTCAGAAATGCTTTCAGTGGACGTGCATTTTCACGTCACCTGGAATTCACAGTTGTACTGATAGGTTTTGACCCTACTTCTATTCCCCTCCTTATTCTATGTAAGTTTCTATCTTCCAGAATTTTCTAACTTATCAGCTAATAATGTGGCATGTGAAACATTTAAAAAAATAAATGTGAGGGTTGAAGCAAATCCACTGAGGTCATTACTCTGGTTAAACGATTTGTACCATAAGAAACGGAATAAATGTTTCCAAATTCAGTATTAATATAGGATATTCTGAAAGAGCTGGCTTTCATATTCTATTCCCTGTTATGAATACAATTGTGTTTTTTGTAAAGTACTCAAGTATCCTCAGACAGGTCAAATTGTGTAAAACAATAGGTATTGGGTGTTCAGGGTGGAGGGGAAGGGTACTGCAACAGCTGCAACATAATCCACACATGTAAAAACAAAATCGGGTCAGGGCAGTTTACAAATGTACAGGTGGCTACTGGCTTGGGGCTGTCACCCTTGTGAAAGCTGATCACAAGCAGAAAGACATATACTGTACAGTGACTCGAGGCTGGCAGTGAAAGGAATAATTAAAAACAAGTACAATTATAGAAAAGGCACCAAGAGCACTGACCCCAGTTTTGTTTTTTTTTTTTGTTTTTTTTAACAATCTTTTTATTCTTACCTTCCTTCTGAATAAAGCTTATTTGTGAATATTTTTAGGCTTCACAACAAGCCTTGAGTTTTAACTCACAGTTGTCAGCCAGAACCATGTTTTTGTTTGTTTTTTAAATCTCATACCAACAGATTCTCACACTTAACCTGGGAATTTTAAACTGGAATTAGCAAAGACAAACTATTCCCTCTGTTGGACATTAACTGTTTAATTTTTAAAAGCATCAGATTTCTTTGGCTCCTCATTATGTAGAAAGGGTAATAAACCACGGCATCCTTTCAAGACCAGTCTGTCCTTTTTCACTTTTAGTGTGTGTGCGTGTGTGTGCACAATTTTTCTTACACTTTCTGATTTCCGGCAGATGTGTAAACATGACTTTTTTTTCTACTTTCATACTATTTCTCTTGTCAGATTTTGATCATTCGAAGTGTTCTTTGTTGGAGTGAGTGGATGGTGTTGAGTTATATATGGATTCATCTTATGATTATCTGTTTTGCAAAAGTAACTTAATTTTCTTAAGCATTCACATTACTTGGCACCGTTGGCAAAATAATTGTTTTAAATAAAATAAACTAAACTCCTGGTAGCCAAAATTAAATGTAAACATATCCTTTTTTTTTTTTAAGTAATGCTACTCTGCCTTTTTTCCTAAGTCTAAATACAGTAGCTTTTTTTTCTTTTTTCTTTTTTTTGCAGGTTAGTCATGCTTTAGCAAAATGTTCCTCTAAAGAACATTTAAAATAAAGTACTCTTATAGTGAAATAAAGTTTTTTTTGTTTCATTTTACAGACCATAGCCACTAATGCTTTGCTTGTTCATCTTTTTCTTGATTTCATGCACATATCTTTGTTTTTAATATATACAATATATACAAACAATACATCCACATTTTCCCCGCTTATTCAGACAAAACTATACAAATAATTTTAACTTGCCATGTTATTGACCTTTGTGAATAAAATATTTAGCAATTTAATATAATCCCTTTCAAATATTTTCTTTTTCATCTCTACCTTTTATTATATACACAAAAACCGCTTCGTTTGGATGGGATAGAGCCAAAAAAAAACCATGGGATTTACTGGCCAGAATGCAGCACCACGCTGGTCGTTTAGGTGGTAAATGTCCAGGCAAGGTTTATGACTCCTTGGAATGACTACTGTTTCCAAGGTTACTAAAAAAGGCTTCATGCTTTACCGATTCTTAAGTAATTTTCATTGCACGTGAAAGTAGGCCAAAACTTAAAGTGCTGAACATGAGAAAAGAGCAAGATGATCGCGCTCCTCGCGGGTTCTTAGGAGGTGGTGGGGGCAGGAAAGGAAGTTCGAATTCTGTGCGCTGTTTGTCAGTGTTTCTCGTGCATTACCCGTTTACCACACACCTGCCCCTCTGCAAATTTCCACAAGACATTGAAACCTGCAGATTTTAAAAGTTGCATTAAGTGTGCTGTAGAGATTAAAACAAACAAATAAACGGAAAAAAAAAAGTGAAGGAAATGAGAAGACACGGACGCCATAACGACGGGTATGATGTAAGCCCTCCACGGAGAATCAACCCAGATTCAGCTTCTTGGAAATAACCGGAGGTGCAGGCACAGCACTCCCGGTTGCTGACGGTGTAGCCCCACCTTTTCTTATCTATATTTTTGGTATAAATATTTGTCCAGTTCCACACGATGTTTGAATACAGCCCTATTGAGAAGGGACGCGGCTCCTTCCTAAGCCGAGGAAGCCCCTTCAGTCCCTCCTGGTGTCTTGTTTTCCTATGATCCAACAGAAGACTGAGCTCCAAGATGTCTTGCTGATCAAATTAAAAGTTGTCCATGAAAGTGCAAATGCAATGACCGAAACATTCCTGTTAAAATCCTGCAGTTGACTCCCCAAAACTGCAGAGGGATTGTGTGTGCGTGTTCATGTGCGTGTGTGTACGTGTGTGTGCGTGTTGTTGCATGTCTCTGCTAAAAACAGAAATGAAAACAGTCTGAAAAGCAATGTCACATTGCTAAGGGATGCTGCTGCACGTCTTCAAGTTCCTTGGCCTTTTTCAATTCTTTCACTCTGGAAGAGAAACAAAACAAAACACCAGGCGGTAACTATGGAATCAAACTGTGACTGAACAAACATGAGGGCTCCTACCCGGAAATGGAAAGCCCCAACAAACCCCTTTGGAGGACTGATGACAAACGAAGCTCTTGGGAGACTGCTCGGAGAAAATTCAGAGGAAGATAGACCCTACGTAAATCTATTTAAAAATCTATAAAAATTTATTCTCCATTGGGTGCTTCAAGAACGGAGCAAAATGGGTCTGCTGTTTGAAATCAACAGCAGTAATTACATACTCATCTTGGAAAGGTTTACTATTCAGTGAACCAATTTTCTTTGACGGATGGGCCACTCTTAATGCCCTAAAACCCCAGGTGATATAATCTAGGGAACTGACACACACACACATTAATTTAGCCCTCAGTAGACCTAGGGACTGAATCACTGCTTGGCTCATAGACTCCAGACTGCTGGCTTAAAAATCTTTTTAAAAATATTTTTTTAATATTTTATTATTTTTATTTTATGTATATAAGTGTATTGTCTGCATGTATGTGAGTGCACCTATGTCGTGAAATGCTGTGGAGGTCAGAAGAGGGCTTTGGATTCCCCTGGAACTGGAGCTAAGGATGGTTTGTAGCTGCCATGTGGGTGCTGGGAATTGAACCTGGGTCCTCTGCAAGAGCAGTCAGTGCTCTTAACCATTGAGCCATCTCTCCAGTCCCTAAAAAATATTTTATTATTTTTATTTTCTGTGTATGAGTGTACTGCCTGCATGTATGTAAGTGCACCCGTGTCATCCAATGCTCCTGGAGGTAAGAAGAGGGCGTCAGGCCTCCTGGAACTAGAGTTACAGATGGTTGTCAGCTGACATGTGGGTGCTGGGAATTGAACCCTGGTCCTCTGCAAGAGCAGCCAATGCTCTTATCCGTTGAGCCATCTCTCCAGGCCCTGGCTATCTTGAACCTAACTCTCTGTCTACACAATGCTACCCTCTCTCTTCTGTACTGCTGTCTTGGGACGTTCCTAATTCTGACTTTGCCCCCATTCCACACTGTCACTCTGAAGGACATCTGGGCTCCTCAGATCTCCCAGATGAGCAGCAGCAGGATGCAATACCCCAAAGGGACTTTTACTTATCAGAAATACCATAGTAAACCAATTTAAGTGAAAGCACCTGAAGACTGAGTCACAGAAAGGTCACACCAGCAACTTATAAATGACCAATCTACATTTTTAAGTGGAAATTTTTGCCTTAAAAAAAAAGTGGCGCCTGACTCAATGAGGTGCTGTGAAGTGGTCGTGTGCTATGAGGACACCCTCCACTGGCAGTAGTTATGTGTCTGCCTTGACAGCAGAATGGCCAAACACAATTCAGTGCATGCTGGGTCAGACAGCCTGTGCTACACCCCATAGAATATCATGTGCTTCTCAAACGAAGGCACGAGAGGACGATTTAGCCAAGCAGAAACGGCAGTTGCTTAGGGCACCTCTCCTCTGCCTCAGCGACATAACAAGGATGCATCCCATTGGCAGTGGGCAAGGGCAGCACTGTCAGATCGGCCTTCCTCTTCTCTCGGTGTAAGGTCTGTGTCTCAAGAGACACCTGTCAATTAAAAGTTTATTTAAACTGAATGTGAGCACTTTCTAAATAGATTTGATAAAACTCAGGCAAGAAGAAAACACTCTGAAAAAAACAAACAAACCAAACCAAAATAAAAAAACAAAACACCTAGGAAGCTACTGCTGCATTACACAGGTTGAGAAGGGGTGGAACGGCATTTTATTCTTTTGCAAAAAAAACCCTTTTATTTGTTTTTATTTTATGTATATGAGTGTTATGCCTGTATGTGTGTAAGGGCACCCATGTCATGCAGTGCCCACAGAAGACAGAAGAGGAGGGTGTCGGATCCCCTGGAACTGGAGTTACGGACAGTTGTTCGCCACCATTTGAGTGCTGGGATTCAAACCCAGGTCTTCTGCAAGAGCAGCCAGTGCTCTACTGCTGAGCCATCTCTCCAGCTCCAAGGGTATTTTATTCTTACAGCAATCTAAGAATACTTGTCTATTTACCACCTCCAGGCAGAATCATTTCTGAGTAGTGTGCAAAGTTGATATAATCTCTTCAGAAAGAGAAGACTCACTTTCAGGAGAAAAATTTTTATCATTTTATCAATGGCATTAAATTGTCACACATGAAAACTTGCCTGTCTGACTTATTACGTTTGTCAAGCCCAGCTTAGTGCAGCTTATTCACACCTGACAGTGGCAGGGTGTCCCCCAGACTGAGACTCCTTTCTGAAAGCTACATTTAATATGCACAGCATTAATGTGTGTTCACAACTAGATCCAGCTGTTAATCTTAAATGTATAATTAAGGATATCATAGCGCATCAGGTTTTAGGGTAATGTGGCGCCACACTGCAGTATAGAATTGTGTATCAGCCTCTAACTTTGGACATGCATACTTTAAAAGGGGCTTCTTAAAAATTGAAACATGCTGTAAGTCTGTGTTCAATTTTTAAACATGCAGTATCTAGACTAACACCCTTCTGGCAGGAACAATGCACGGCATGCACGGATGCCAACCTCACTTCGTCATGCAGGGTCTGTGCTCGCGCAGACCCGCTTGCCCAATTCCTGCAAGATGTGCATGCTGCGTCAAATACCACGATTCATTTCTGCTCTAGCACAGAACTCATTCACAAAGGTGCAACACTGATGGTGCCCCTAAAGACGTCCAGAGTTTAAAGAATTGTGAACTCAGACTCTGACAGCAGAAACAGATACCCAGTCGTCATTTTTCTAGAACGTGTGAACAGAAATGCTTTCAAGACATTAAGTTCATTGCTAAGATGAAATAAAAGAGATGTAAACCTGAAATGTTTTAAGCAACTTCACACCAAAGAACCTGCAAGCAGCTGTCAGGGTAAGCATGGCTGAACACCATTCCCCTAGTTAAAATGGTCACATCTGCCCCTCAGTTTTAGTCCCCCACTTTCTTTCAGAACTAATGAAAAAGTCAAGTAAATTTTTGCGAAGGTTTAGTTACCACATAATACTCTGCTACGGAATTAATGATGTGTCAGAATAAGGACATTCCAACCAGTTTTCAGAACTCTCCCTCCCTCCCTCCTTCTCCCCCTCCCCCCTTTCTTCCTTCTTTTAGGTTTCACTATGTAGCCCTGGCTGGCTGAAACTCACTATGTAGACCAGGCTATCTTTAAACTCACAGAGATCCACCTGCCTCTGAAGGATTAAAGGCCTGCACCACCATACCTGGCTTAAATATAGTTCTCAAGTTCTCCATTAGGTGACCACACTCTACTGCCGTTATAAATGACATCAAACGAATTACATGTTATAGGGTCCAAACAAACAAACAAACAAACAAACAAACAAACAAAAAACCCCAAAAGTTTGTTAAAGGATGAATTAGAGAAAGGGGAAAAAGGAAATACTAATTGTATCCCAATACCTTTAAAGATTATTGAAAACAGGTTATGTAGTTATTAAAATGTGGGCCACTAGCTAGTTTGTAAGCATAGAATCTAAAAGTCACAGGGATTAAGCAATCTGCCTCAAGTTGTGTTGTTAAGTGGCAGAGCGACCATCTGATCCATGTCTGTTGGAATGCAAAGTCACTTTGCTCCTCTCTACAGCCTCTTAGTTTTTAAAATATTTTATTAATGATTTTTACTTTATGTGCACGAGTGTATGTGAGTGCACCTGTGTCGTGCAATGCCGAGGAGGTCAGAAGAGGGCTTCAGATTCCCCTGGAACTGCAGTTAAGGACAGTTTGTAGCTGCCATGTGGGTGCTGGGAATCGAACCCAGGTCCTCTGCAAGAGCAGTCAGTGCTCTTAACTACAGAGCCATTTCTCCAGCCCCGGCCTCTTAGTTTTTAAAACAATTCTTACTGTATTGGTTTTTACAAAAACTTTAATAGGAAAAATAAATTTAGGAAATTAAAATTACCATAGTATGAAATTGGTAATGATTGTATTTTCTCCATTCTAAGATATCATCCTTTATGAGATACTAGATTGAATTTAATTGCAAGATTTTGTTTTGATTTCTTAAGGAAGGGTCTCACTATGCAGCCCTAGCTGGCCTGGAATGTGCTATGTAGACCAAGCGGGCCTCAAACTCACAGAGATCTGCCTGCCTCTGCCTGCTGAGTCCTTCGGATTAAATGTGTGTGCCACCACACCTGACTAGTTACAGTGTGACAGGGCAAGAGCACATTCACACAAAATGTACTTGTTGATTTTATAACACCATTTTGGAACCCTGAAATAGGTACAAAGAATGTGCCTACAAATCCAGAAAGACATTCTCCACTTTATGACTGACACACCATGTTGATGCTAACTTACCCTCGGACGCGTTCATGAAACAGACTTCTGCAGTCTGTATAAAGGGAGTTTTATGTTGCTTAAGGACAGATAATGAGGGACCAGCTAGGTGCCTGTCTTTTGTTTAAAGAAAACACCAGTTGGATAAAATAATGTGTGAAAATTATATTGCCTCTGGAGAAGAATGATGACATCACTAAATGATTTGGAATAACATCTAAAGTACTAGGTTTCCAACAAAGTCTAAGAAACAGGTGTTTCAAATCAGTATTTCTTTTTTAAAAAAATATTTATTTTTATTTTATGTATATGCATGTATTGCTTGCATGTAGGTAAGTGCACCTGTGTCATGCAATGCCCGCGGTTGTTAGCTGCCATGTGGGTGCTGGGATTTGAACCCGGGTCTTCTGCAAGGACAGCCAGTGTTCTTGACTGCTGAGCCATCTCTCCAGCCTCTCAAATCAGTATTTCAACTAACTAAATTTAGTTTTGCCTTATCTGTTACTAAAAGGTGTACATTAGTTAGAATACACCTTTATCAACAAGAAAGACGTACAGGAAAAGTTTAACCATGGCTCTGGGCGAGTGTCCGTCTTTGCCAAATTTGTTCCTCACAATTCGCTATAAGGAATATGAACTTATTCTATAGGAACAATTA